CAACCCTGGGCCTGGCTCCAGGGTGGGGCCCCGGCTGCGCCATGCCAGGCGACGTCACGGTCCTTGATTTTAATCTATTCATAAAGGGCTTTTGAACCACTCTTAGTCTGACCCATCACCCAGGACCTGTTTGCCTTGGGAGACCCTACCGGGGACATATAGCCCCCGACAACATAGCTCCTAGGATCACTCGGGTACTCAAACCCCTCCACCACAATAAGGTGGCGGTTCAAGGAGGGGTTCACTAAGTGTATTATTTGTCTTTGTTGCTGTGATGACATTACATTAGATGCCTCCTATCAATAATCGGTTTGTCAATTAAAGGTAAAGGTCATAACGGCAAAAACAAATGGTTGGAAATATTAAGATGAAGAAAACACCTAAATCAGAAATCATGTGAGTCATGGAAGAAACTGTTTGCTTGTGTGTGGAAATACCATGACTGAGAAAAGTTACAGATGTTACTGATTCACCTTTTCACAGCTCTGAAAACACCCACAGCCTTCCATGAAAAGATTCGCAGCCTGGAGAGAGCCAGGGTAAGACATCAGCTGATGTCATCAGCACTACACCATGCATGATTGTGTTACCCTGAGCTGTGTCTAAATTATATTCCCATAATATTTAAAATGTTTCATTTACTTAACAGACTGGGAACTTCTTAAAGCACAAACTCTGCAGCAGACCTGAGCGCTCGGAGTTGGTTCGTTTGCACATCCTACAAGGTATCCATCTTCTTGCGTGTTCTTACTGTTTTAATAAGACAGATGAGTAAGGTGGTTATTCATTTAGCTGCATTTTTGCCCCGCTTTTATTTGCTTTACAAAGTTATAACCAGATAAATGTCTTCGTGAGGTCTGGCTGAGACTACAATGAGTCTCCCCGACAAAGCAGTTAAGAGGCTGACTGATGCTGGCCCGATCATAACTATTGAATGTATGTGTGTTTATCAGAGACACAGGCTGGGCCCTCCCTGCAGGCCACACAAATGAAGCTGAAGAGGGCCAGATTAGCTGATGACCTCAATGAGAAGATCGCCCAGCGGCCTGGACCCATGGAGCTGGTGGAGAAGAACATCCTGCCTGTTGACTCTGGCATCAAAGAGGTCATCAATGGTAAATACTCAATACTGCTAAATGACCTGAGGCATTCCAGTGTTTTTCTATTTGCTCACTAGGTCCCAAACAGTTAACCACTTACTGTAACAGCCACAGAGCTAACTCAAGCCAGCACTGCAGCACGTATTAATGTTATTACAACCCCAAATCAGAAAAAGTTGAGACGGTATGTAAAATCAAAAGGAACCAAAAGGAAGCCCTATGTCAACAGTATCTAGAAGCACCATCGACTGCTCTGGGCTCAGAGACATCTGGGATTGACCATCACGCAGTGGAAATGTGCATTTGTTCAAAATAAACATTTAAATTCTGATGCCTGCAGTAAACATTCCAAAAAAAGTTGGGACAGTTGCATTTCAGGACCAGTAATGAGGTAAAACAATGAAATGATGATTCTATTTGAAACAAGTGATGTCAACAGTTGACCGCAATGAGGATTTGGTAAAAGTGGCATCCAGGAAAGGCCGAGCCCTTTAGGAGCAAAGATGGTCTGAGGACCAACAGTTTGACCACATACTGTATCTGTGAGAAAATTACTGAAATGTTTAAAAACAATGTTCCTCAAAGAAAGATAGGAAGGATTTGGACATCTGGGATGGACCATCACGCAGTGGAAATGTGCACTGTGGTCAGATGGGTCAGTATTTCAGGTCTGTTTGGAAGGAATGGACACCGTGCGCTCCAGACCAAAGACAAAAAGGACCATCCAGACTGTTACCAGCAACAAGTCCAAAAGCCAGGGTCTGTCATGGTCTGGGGTTGTGTCACTGCCCTTGGCAAAGCTAACTTAAACTTCTGCTCTATTAATGCTGAACAATACAGAGAGATTTTGGAGCAACATATGCTGCCTTCAAGATTACATCTTTTCCAGGGACACTGATGCATATTTCAACAAGAACCTCATAGTGCACATTACCAAGGCCTGGCTGTAGAGGTAAAGCATGCGAGTGCTGGACTGGCCTGCCAGCGGTCCTAGGCTGTCCCCAGTAGAGAATACATGGTTCATTTTGAAATGCAACTTGTGTCAACAAAAACCCAGGACTGTTGCTCACCTTAAGACTTGTTTGCAGGAAGAATGGGACAAAATTACACCTGATGCATTTAATCACTTGGTGTCCTCAGTGTCTAAATATTTGTTGTGAAAAGGAACGGCAGCATCACACCGTGGTAAACATTTTACTGTCCCACTTTTGGAATGTGTTTCAGGCATCAGGATTGAAGTGTGTTTATTTTGAAAAAAGAATAAAATTGATCACATCAGATAATGTGCTGCTGTTGTCTTCAGTGTAAAACAAGACACAGATGATTTACACATCAATATTTTCTGTTGTAATTTTGAGTTTACATACTATCCCAACTTTTTCTGATTTGGGGTTGTAGTTATTATTGCATTCGAGGGGAAAGAAGCCGGAAGGTCCATCAGCTGGATATAATGACCTGCCATTATCTGGTACTGAAAAACTGCTCAGCATTCATTCTTTAACCTTTCACTCCTTACCAGAATTACTCAATATTTATTCCTGTACGAACTGTTTGGCCATGCCAGCGGCATGGCTCTTGGGATGGCAGTGTCACTCTGTTGGATTGGATTCACACTAATATACAACATCTCCACAAATGTTTGATGTATTACCATTAAATTTCATACAGACATTTATGAACTGCCAAAGATGAACTCTGATGACTTCGGTGCTCCCCAGACATTTCCTCCATCGCCAACATGAAGCTTTTTTTTGTGAAATATCTCAAGAAATGTTGGAAGGATGGTCATTAAACATAGTACAGACATTCATGCCACTCACAGGATGAATTGCAATCATTTGAGGGATCCATTAACTTTTCATCTGGCGCCATCATCAGGTCAATTTTAATTTGTTGCTTCTGTACATCTTTACTGTGTTACCATGTGTATGTTCAAGTGACGGCGCCTTCACTCTCTCGTCACTGGTAGCTCGAATTTTCATTTTGTAATCAGGTATACGTACCAGCAGCCTCCACTGTATGCTTGTTTGACAAATCCTTCCTGTCAGTTTGGATTTATTCTTTAATAAGCTGTACTTTCTTGTGTTTGATCCTGGCCCTAAAGGTTATAAGGCACATTCCTGTAAGACACCTGATGTTTACAAATTCGATGAGGACAGCAGTGATGCCTTATCACCAGAACAGCCTGCCAGCCAGGAAACTCCCAGCTTCACCTCAGCCTGTGTAAGGGAACCAGGAGGGACTGAGGCCACCTCCACCTCCTCTCAGTTAAACTCCCCCGTACAGGTACACCTGTACCTTGTAATATCACATTTGTAAAACATATACTGTCCATGTGAAAAGACGAACTAGAGTCTTAAAATTATATACTGTAATTCTTTAATTAAACTGAAAAAACATTTCATGCTTTAAGGAAGTTTCAACACTACATTTAACCTCTGTGATGTTATTTACTGCCATTGGTAGAATTTGTCACTTAAGAGAAAAAAAAAGTATTTTGGGAACTATGTTTTTCTTTTTTATTAATTTATTTTTTATCTTTATTCAGACACCATGTGCTAATGTTTGTCATAATCTGTTACATATTGTACTCATTCTTTTATTTTCCTGGTGTTTATCAACCTGTTTTTGATTATAACTGAACAGCCTCTTTGTTCTTACTAAAGGGATCATGTGCTTTCTGTTTGCCTCTGCTTTCCTTAGCACTCCCCTCTGCCAAACTCACTGTCATCATCAGATTTAGTTAACCTTGTTCCTACTAGTGAGCACCAAAGGAATCCACGAGCATCTACACCTCAGCCAATCACTGTTTCTTCCAGTGTTGCACCAGTGCCAGTTCTTGTGAAGGTGGGCAATTTTTTTTAAGCAAAGCCATTTGAAGGTCTTCATAAACTTTAAGTAGCAGTGATTTTTTAAGGATAAGTCCATTTTGTTTGTAATCAGCTGACATGAAATGGACCTCTGGCTTTTAACCCTTTGTCTCTCTGATTTACTGACTGTGTTTTTCTCTTTCCTTTGTAAATGTGATGTCATTCTGAAAATCACATTGATTGAGGGGTAATTTGAAAGAGTAACCTTCTTCATTCAGGCTCCAAAAAATCTAAGCTAAAAATCAAAGGATAGGAGAGCAAAAATCACTTGTGCATTTATCATAATATATTTGTTCATTGGAATAAAAAAGGAGAATGAGTTTCAAAAACTGGAGGGTGTGCTTGTTTAACTCAGCTTGAGTTTCTGGTTCATAGCGAGAACCTGCCGCTCTTTTGCCAAGCCATTTTCATGTGTATCCTGTAATTTCAGGAGGCAGAACAATAAAGGTTACATTTCCATTACCTGTTTCCTCATCCTGCAGTTCTCATCAGGTGTCAGAACAATGTTCTACTTCAGTTCTTTAAGCTATAACAATCCAGTATCAGTTCCAAGTCATGTAGTGTTGACACTGGCAACTGTATTTCCTGATAGACTGGACGGAAATCAATCACGGGGATCTAATATCCCCCACATGGTCCTCTGAGGTTTTACATGCCCCTTTTCTTTGTTGTGTTGTGCTCTGCAGCAAAGCCTGCCCAAGCCACTCGGTGATAGGAACCGCAGCAAAAAGAGCAAACCACGGGTGAAAAAGCTGAAGTACCATCAGTACATTCCCCCGGACCAGAAGCAGGAGCTTAGTGAAGTGCCGATGGACTCTGCGTATGCCCATCTGCTGCAGCAGCAGCAGCAGTTTCTGCAGCTCCAGATCTTAAGCCAGCAACAGCAACATTACTGCCAAGGCGTCCTGCCTGCCACACTAAAGTATGTCTTCATTCAGCTACACAAACACTCTCTTTACACAGCCAGAGACCAGGCTTTGCTCAGCCACTGCCTACCTTTATGTGTATGGGCTAATAACTTTGTGTTGAGTTCATTACTCAACCAGCTGAAACAACACTAAAGTTTTTATTTTTTATTTCAGTTGTAATTTTATACTAACTCTGGTTTTAGAGAAAATGAAATTTATTGTTGTCTCAACTATTTAATGGTAGCTGCTCTGTTACACAGAAGCTGTTGCTTGTGAAAAGTGGATAATATTTGAGGTTCCCCTTGTCATCTGTACTCCCTGTCCACTTTTAACAGACCAACAACTGAGGTACAAACCAGCTGTTCCAGTGTTCTGAGTGGAGATGTTTTGTCTGCCCCTGTGCAGCCCTGTCACACTCAGACAACCCGCAACCTGGATCATTTACCAGCTAATCTGGATGAGATGAAGGTGGCACATTTCTGCATGCATATAGTTTGACTACAGTATATGCACCTCATGCATGTTGCAGAGGAGCTCAGCCACATTTCTGAGATATTCTATGGCAACCTTTTATCTTTACAGGTTGCTGAGCTAAAAGTGGAACTGAAACTCCGATCTTTGCCTGTTTCGGGGACTAAGACAGATCTGATAGAGAGGCTAAAGCTGTACCAGGAAACCTCTAACATCCAGACTGCTGCTGTCGTGGAGACAATGGCTGTCACAGCAGCCTTGCAATCTGAACACATAAAGCTGACCCCTCCTGTGTCCCCTGTAACCTCCAAGGTGTCCAGTCTAGGCATAGAGGACAGTAGTATGGCAGACAGTCCAGCAAAGCTTTCACGTGCTCTCTCTTCAGTTCACACTGCTCCTTGTTTGAACTCCCCACAGAGAGCTGTACAGGAGGAGTGTCCCACAGAGACAAGGTCCTATGAAAAGGACTCTGAAAAAGACAAACGTCTGCATGAGAAGCAGCGTCAGATTGAAGAGCTGATGAGGAAGCTGGAGCAGGAGCAGAGGCTGGTGGAGAAGCTGAAGATGCAGCTGGAGGTGGAGAAAAGGATTCAGCAAGGTGATTCTGTGCCCCAGCTCAGCCCTCTTCCTCCCATTCAGGTCAAAGAGGAGAAAAGAGGCCCCTTGGACTGTTCAGAATCCTGTAGCTCTCCTGGTCTGCCAGTGTTGGTCAAACAGGAAGAGGCTGTAGAACAGAGCCACATAGCTCCTCCAAAACAGTTCATCATCAGCCATCAGGCCAACAAGCAGTCTGAAACACTGCAGTCTGTCCAGGCTGGAGCTCAGATCCTCCCTTTTGGCTCCCTTCCTCCCTCGACAGTCACTATCCAGCTCCCTACCAGTGGCATCACATTACACACTACTGTAAGCAGCGCAGCCCCAGGCCTCATCCAGTCCACTGGACACGTGCCACAAAAAACAGAGGCCTCAGCAGAACTACAACAGCAATGCAGCGCTCACAATCAGGCATTGACAAGGGTAAGATAACACACTAATGGCTACACAGTCTGCCTCCTTATTAGCCATCACTATCATCTGTGGTAGTTTTCCTATGAACTAGAATTGTATGTGATTGCCCATAACTGAAATTTATGTGCAGCTAAAATCCTAAATTCAGTTTTCTGTGCATAAATATGGTGCAGTGTGCAGTGGCATTTCCTAATATACATGTGTAATCTCTCTAACAATCAGTTAATTGAAATCTACTCACATCAAAAGAAGGCCTGTGGAAACATGGGTTGCTGGAGCAGGTGCTGAGTGAGAGCTGACTGTAGCACCATACTTGTCCGCTGTCACCCTTCTGTTCTGCTCTGAGCACAGTACGCAGACCGAATTAGCAACAGAAACCACAGCTCAGTGCTGTCGTGAGTTGCACTGAACAAGTGCTGGAACAAGTGCTTTAGCTGAAGAGGGCCCGGAGCAATTCAGTTCCATTTAAGTTATTTTGCTTATTAAATGCAGGTGATCCAGAGCAATTTTCCCTTGGATTTTCACAGCTCCCAGCTACATGTCCTATCCTCTGCTGCTCTGATACCTAAGCTGAAGTAACTTGCTGTGTTTGTAATGCATTACCTTTCCATACATGTAGCAGAAAGTATTTTACCTGGTCACATTAGAGCATTTAATAATACATGCCTCTGGCTAACTTGTCTAAATTTATCTGCAGATGTGGAGGATGGATACCACAGCAGAAAGCATACTCAGCACATTCCCGGTGGGTGGATGTTCTGCAGGAGCTTCCTCTAGCAAAGCCGTCCCTAAAGGGCAGATTAATAAGGTAGATTGTTCTTTTGTTCAATTTCTTTCCTTTATGTAAAGCACTTTGCAACTACTGTTTTACTTATTTATTTGTACAGTATTAACTGCATTTGAACAATGGTTTGTATCAGATGTTATCTGGTTTTTATTTGGTGTAATGGGCTGTTGTCTTTTTCTGTTAAATAGGCTCCATGTCCCAGCCAACCACCTTTGATCTTGCCTCAGTCAAAGTTCACAAACCATGTGTCAAAGTGTAAAGACCCACCTCGCTATGAGGATGCAGTAAAGCAGACACGCAGCATGCTAAGAGTTGTTCAGGTAAAAAAATGAAACATCAGTGGACTACATTGTTCAGTACAGTATTCTTTTAAATTGTTACTACAGTTACTTGTCTTTTTTATTTCTCTGCAGGGTCCTACTGCAGCTAGCCAACAGATGGATGACCTGTTTGATGTGTTGATTGAGAGTGGTGGTGAGAATTACCAGACTTTTTTACCACTGGTAGATTAGGACAACATAATGATTTATGGATTCTCAAACTTCTTGTTATGCCCTTTTTGTCAGAGATCTCTCCCTTCATCAGACAGGATCCACCCAGTGTGGACAAGCCTCTTCCTGTGACTTGCAATGTAACCACTCTCCCTGTCAGCATGGCTTTATCCCGCCCTCCGCCTGTGGTACAAGTGGCCCAGCTGCGTGCTCTGCCCCTTAACCCTTCGACCAGCTTGACAGCCCTGACCTCAGACACCCAGCTGGACACCCTCCTGGGTACTGACCCACAACCACAAACAATGAAGCTGATGGAGGAGTTACACTCACCCATAGTCTCCATGGAAGCGGGCTTTAATGAAAACACACCACCTTGTGCTTTGACCTTGCAAAACACCACCGTGGATAATATGGATTGGCTGGACCTTACTCTGTCTGTGCCAGCAGAGGGAGTCAACCCTTTGGACATGTCAGCACCAGTGGACGTCTACTCCTCTGACTTCCTGGACTCTCATGAGCTGCGCCTGAGTTGGGACTGAGTGATGTCAAGGTGAATTCTTGCAACTATCAGGCCATTTCAGATAAACATAATTTTTTTTTTAAACAGAGCTGTTGGATGTTTGTGCAGCTCTCTTCGGCTTTTTGGTCAGTTAAGTCAGGTCAGTAATAAAATAATCATGCAGTGTCATTTTAGAAGTTGGTGCATTGCTTCCTTTCAGGTCTTTAAGCCCTTTGATTATCTGGGGAAGCTGACATAAGGTCGGACTGGTACTGACAGGTTGAGTTAACAGTGGAAGTAGCTTTTAAGCTTTCAGTCTTAGGTTATGCCACTGTTTTGTCCCCTTTATGAATATACATAATTGTATTGACCATGGAAATAGGAGAACAAGCAGAAAAATGTCCTGGTGTAGGACTAATGGACAAATTGCATGTAGCTAGTTCCTTTGGCCCAGTCTTGGAATGATTATCACTAGCAAAACATACTGAAGACACACAACTGCTAAATGTTTATTTCTGGAAATACTTTGAAAGGAGAGTGGAACATCTAGCACTGCCATAAAGTCCAGCAGACCAACTCTTACGGGGTTAAAACTAAGTTAGGTCAGCTCAGTTCGTGGTTAGGTACAGTGCCAGTCAAAAGTTTGGACACATTCCCATTCAGTTCAGTGGGAAAACATGTCCAGACTCTTCACTGGTGTATATTCAAGACTTGTAAGTATGACAGGCTGTAGCAGACCATGACCTCTGTGCATTGTATAACAGAGTAACAACAGACAGCATTCTTCAGCATGATCCACTATTCATTTGTATTTCTTTTATACTGAAATAACCATAATGCATTACAGTGGATTTCTATTCTAGTGACGTGGACACAACACCAACACAACTACAGTGACATCTGCTGGCTTGAATGAACTTGAGAAAGTAAAAGTTGTTTTGGTTTCTGTGACACTGAAAGGTCATCTTTAAAAACAATGCACTGCTTGATAATGGTTGGGTGTGTTTGAATATTTTGGTCAGTGTACTGACTGTGTTGTTTTGTTGAATTATTAGAGATTCACTGTCTGACTTTGCAGAACAGCATCACTTACAAACTCACCTGAATGTGGAAGGAACTGCTGTGAAAAGCAATTTTGAGGTTGTTCGTTTTTGTTTCCTCTCAGTGCATTAGTGCCTCATTTGACAGTCCAAATGTCAATTATGTGCTGGAATGAAAAATATTTTGTCTTTACTATAGTAGTATAAGTCAATGCCAAGATACAGGTAGATGGTAATGCATAGTTTGTATGCCATAGGTTTATATGTTGTGTATTTATAGTTGAAGTCAGAAGTTTACATACACTTAGGTTGAAGTCATTAAAACAGATTTTTTTAACCACTCCACAGATGTCATATTAACAAACTCCCGTTTTGGCAAGTCGGTTAGGACATGTACTTTATGCGTGGCACAAGTCATTTTTCCAACAGTTGTTTACAGATAGATTATTTCACTTATAATTCACTACATCACAATTCCAGTTGGTCAGAGGTTTACACACACTCAGTTGGCTGGGCCTTTAAACAGCTTGGAAAATTCCAGAAAATGATGTCATGGCTCTAGAAGCTTCTGTTTGGCTAATTGACATCATTTGCATCATTAGGAGGTACCTCTTTTTTTGACATCATGGGAAAATCAAAAGAAATCGGCCAAGACTTCAGATAAACAAAACTGTGGACCTTCACAAGTTTGGTTCATCCTTGGGAGCGATTTTCAAACGCCTGAAGGTACCATGTTCATCTGTGCAAGCAATACTATGCAAGTATAAACAGCATGGGACAACAGCCATCATATCACTCAGGAAGGAGACGCGTTCTGTCTCCTAGACATGAACCTATTTTGGTACGAACAGTACAACAGTACAAGTCCCAAAACAACAGCAAAGGACCTTCAGAAGGCACTGGAGTAAACCACAGTATAACCAGCCCTATATCGACCAAACATGAAAGGCTGCTCAGCAAAGAAGAAACCACTGCTCCAAGACTGCAGTAAAAAAGGCAGACTACCTTTTGCAGCTACACATGGGGACAAAGATCTGTCTTTTTGGACAAATGTCCTCTGGTCTGATGAAACATAAACTGAACTGTTTGGACATAACGACCATCTGGAGGAAAAAGGGGGAGGTTTGCAAGCCAAAGAACACCATCCCAACCATGAAGCACGGGGGTGGCAGCATCATGTTGTGGGGGCTTTGCTGCAGGAGGGGCTGTGGCGCTTCACAAAATAGATGGCATCATGAGGAAGGAAGATTATGTGGATATATTGAAGCAACATCTCAAGACATCAGCCAGGAGGCTAAAATGATCCCAACTGGCCAAAGACAGGGAATGTTCATAGGATTAAATGTCAGGAATTGTGAAAAACTGAATTTAAATGTATTTGGCTATGGTGTATGTAAACTTCTGAATTCAATTGTATGTTACCTTTTATACAAATGTAGCAGTTGTTTTGTAAATACAGAGATTATTTTTGATTTTACAGTCTGCTTATGAGCATCCCTACTATGCCATTCACCCTTTAGTGCTTCTCATTAAAAAACTATACAAAGAAAGGATTAAATTTATAAGAAGACTAGACCAAACACCCTTAATAAAGAGTTAAACCTGTCAGTACTACACTATATTGAAAATCATACTGAGCATTTTTTTGTGTGAAAGACCAAATTGTCCTACAAATCTGCTATAAGACACAAACAGCCAGGTTATGAAGTCAGCAGCACTTGCCCCTACTGACATGTGGTAACACACAAATGTTTGAGTTGACAAATATTTCTCCTTGACCACTGATTTGCAGTGTTGCACAGTGTAAAGTGATAATGATTGTAGTGAAAACATTCACTACAGTAAACTCTTCAGGAGAGTCATGCTGGTCAAACCCCAGTTCACCATTAGGTCAAGGTCCAGTGTCCTCTCAGTCTGAGCCTCAGTCTCTTGCTGTGTGCTTTCCTCTCAGAGCCTTTTAATGGTTTTAATTGTTGTTCGACACCTAGGACACCTGTGTGTGATAGATTTGAAACTATCCATGCAGAAGGGAATGAGGCAACAACCAGCCACACACCTGCAAAAAAAAGGGAAGAGGCATGAAGTTAAATGTCAGCAAACCTGGAAGCATATGCCAGTGAGTGTAACAGTAATGACATGAAAACAAACTGGGCCCACAAGGTCTGATTATGTTGTCATGCAAATCATTCTGCAGGATGGAGGGGAGGGTTGCATACCCAAGCATAGCTGTCAGGAAGCATATCGTCCAGGTAGTGCTGCTGACAGTAGTAAAAGTCTCTGTGATGATGAACTGCTGACACTCTGGGCACTGTGTCCTGCATGGATGCAGTGGTAGGTTTTCCACACCCAGAATCACTATAGGGGCTGTGAAGAGAAAAACCATAATACTATGTAGACCAAAACGTTTATATTGTAAACGTACTTAATAAGTGAATGCAGTGAGATTTGCTGTTCCATAGTTTTGTTTTTGTTGGCTATGCAGGTTCACATGTATGGAAGGTGACTAGGGCCACTGTAAAAACATTTTTACACTTTTTTCCTCAGAATTCTGTATGTACAGTATATAACACTAATGTTATGTAGAGATGCAGGACTGCCAGAAGTGAGGGCTACACCCTTTTTTAGAGGAACTAGAATGAGCATTTGTGCATCAGGGCCTCACCAGGAGTAGTAGGTGGAGCCTCAACATAGAAAATGTCTGAGCCAGTGGCAGGAGCAGCAGGCATAATCTTCTGACTGGATGTGGAGCTAACCTCTAACAAGGAAGAAAAGGGTGGTTACAAGACAAAAGTATGACTGAGTCACAGTTTGCTGCAGTGAATAAGGATTCACCTTTCAGACTATTCTTTTTAGCTTTGGTAATTAGGATCTTGTCATGGCTTTTTAGGAGTTCAGCCTCCCTTTCAGTCAGTTGTTTGTCGTCAATGCTTTTGATCTCATCTCATACTGATTTGAGGCTGCTTCCTCTGGCAAAATAAAAAAAAAACATGCAGTACAGCATAGCAGAGACACTGAGGAATGACATTTTGGTTTATAATAAGTAAAATACTTAGCTACTTTACTCTCTCTCTCTCTCATTTTCTATACCACTTAGTCCCGAAAGGGGTCGCAAGGGGGCTGGAGCCAATCCCACCCAGCATCGGACAAAAGGTGGAGTACACCCTGGACAGGTCGCCAGTCCATAGCAGGACTGCTACTTTACTATGAAGTGCTAAATATTTCTCACCTTTGGTTAGAAATTTCACATATTTGTCCAAATTCAGTACAGTTTCTCAATTCCTGAAAGGATTTTTTGCCTTTGAGTGAAAAATGTTTCAGCTCTCTGGATATTGACTTCAGATCGCTGTGTGAAGAAGTCATGGCAAATGCTGCAAAGCCTGACAAGAACAATTGGTAGATTGTTTCCCATCTATGTGTTATGCAGTGTAAAATAGAGCTGAAATACGGCATGTATTCTATATACTATGTGTATAGAATGGAAGTATGGTGAAATCACAGAAGTATGTTACTATAAAGATATATTCATGTGACATTTCTTATGAGGTGACCTCCTCTCAAAATAAAGACCAGTATTGAACATCAGGTGTTCAATACTTCAATAACTTTTTTTTTTTTTTGCTAATACACTTGATTTGGCTCCAGCCCCACCCCCAAATATTTTAAATATTAACAGGAAAACCTATTTACAGGTTTGTTTGATTAATTAAATGTTCATTAACTGATGTATCACAGGTAGTGTCTGGACATTTCTCTCCCATGTGAAATATGAACTAGTGAAAATTTTCAGGTTTTAAAACATTTAACACAAGAACTGAGTGCACGGTCAACAGTGTTACTTTGCATCTCTGTACTGTCAGCAGTACATCAAGTCCTAAATTAATGTAAAAAAAAACAAACAAAAAAAAAAAACCATGTTGATTGTTTATAAAATATGATCAAATGAAATGTTTCTGTTCCTTAAAAAAATCTCTAGTTTAAATGTTGAGTCAACAAAAGTACCAGAACATTAAGTTAAACCTGTAGATAAGATACTGGAATTAGCTTTCATAACACTTTCATACCACAATTCTCAAGTCCAGTGCTTGAGATTTGTATCTGTCAGCTGCACCGTACACATTACTACATAGTAAAAAGTTTAAACACTACTCACCAATAACTACTAACTTCACACAATTCCATTTAAACTTTATTAAAGGGAATAATGTCAAAGAAAAAGCATCTTCATTACCTGACTCCCCAAGCTGCTCCAGTGGGTCAAGCACATGCAACATTCAAACTAGGTTGACAAGGGCATGTAGTGTTCACACCAGGAAATATTCAAAACATCAGGTTATGTTTACATCTGCCCTCTCTGGAAAGTGCCACAGACTGCTCTTGTTGAAATACAAATTCAAATGAAGCAAAAGTACTGTAATATATTTCAATATTTCAGACCTGTTTAAAAAAAAATCACTGCACACAGGCAGTATAAGGGAGGACCAACATCCAGCATTCCAGATATTTATTTACATGTAGCTTCTTTAAGAAGTAGAACAGTTTGTAAAGGGAATTTCTGGGTAAATACTGTATTTGTATTTATGATGCATATAAAGATATTCGTGTCAAGGCTGTCCCAAATAGCAGTTTCATATAATGATGAATACTTTGTCACAGTTAATTTTAAGCCAGAGAGACTGCTACAGTCACGCCAGTACACACTGCAGGAACCGGTGGTTTTCCCCCCAGAGCCTCACTTTTTCCTCAGTCTCTTCATGAATGACACTTCATCCCTGTTCCTGATCCCGTAGCTGAAGAAATAAACAAACGGTCAAACAGTGTAGATGATAATAGAATCACTGTTAAATTAAGTGATCATTTAAACACTTACTCTTTAAGCCTCATTTTGTCATCTTCAAGCTTTTCCCCCTGAAATACTAAATGATAATTTCTCCAAACATATCTCCTGTAAAAGATAGGACACAAACACTGAGAATGTAGCAAATAAGATTAAACATTTTAGCATTTTTAAAATCCCTTTTAAATTCTCGTGTTCTTATGTGTGTGTGTATTTATTTACCAGCTGACATGTTTCACTCCGCCTTCACGTTGTTGTTTCAGCTCCATGAATCTGCGAATAGCCTTTTTCAGATCAAGGACAGTAGCGTTTTGCACCACCACTATGGCTTAAGGAGAAACATTTTCCCACAAAAAATAGTTAATAAAATGTTAATAAAAATCTAGTTATGAATATATAATAATAGCACTAGAGAGTGTGTAGTGATGTCCACACAAAGATAAAACATAACATGTAATCAGAACACACATATTCTAAATGGAAATTAAAAAACTCAGAACTTACGCATTATTTCACCATCCGCCTTCAAAACTCTCACTGTCATTGCCTGTCCATACTCCAGAGCAATTTGAGAATTTACCTCCTCTAGAGTCACCTAAAAAAGATCAGGTTTCAAGAACATTCACATCAGTGCTGACATTGACACAGAATTTCTCATAAACACATGTTCAGTGCATGTGTTTAGATGTTGTTCTACTTCACCCCAATTGCTGAGGAGGTAGCTTTCATTGTCCAACCATGGGTTAGTAATAGTGGTCATACAGTTGAAAACAAAAGGCACCCACATGCTCAAATCTAAGTGTTTGCTCCTTTTCTATTATAATTATATCCTTGTACATTGATTGTATTGAATTGCAATTTGAAGAACACCTTTGTATTAACTGCTGAATTCTTTAAACATTAGCCATTTAATTGTGTATAGTCTGTGTATATGGTGGACAGAACACCTGAATTGGTAGATCACAGAGTAAAGGGTCCTGCACAAGTCGAGCAAGTCCCTCCTCGAAAATGTCCAGGATCTCTGAGTGAGGAAGAGCCTCCTCGTCTTCCTCGTCTGCATCTGGAGCTGCCATCTCTGTCAGGTTCTCCTTCATCACTTCTTCTTCTTCTTTCACAGTCTGTCCTCCTCCAGCAGTGTTCTGACTCAGCTCCTCCATCCTCCACCGCAACCGTGATCCAACAAACAGCCCTTGCTTATTCGAAACTAAAAGAACACAGATTTTAATGCTTTAAAACTAACTGATGACAAACACTTTGAACTTAAACTATTTCAGTGCAAACGCCCATAGATGTAGAGAAAGGATGTGTTCAATGCAAATTATACACCGGTAGGACAACGTAGCTCAGTATACATTGGTCCTCTTAGTGAAAATAAATTTTTACTCATATTAATAATTTTTTTAAACACTCAAATATACTAGTAAATCATTGTTATTGAATTACTGTATTATGTTTGGGTATAGTTGTTATTTTAATAGAAAGCCACTCGATCTTTCTATCTTGTTTCCTCCCGGTCTGTAAAAATGGGAGCACCTGGTTTGAACAAGCATTCTTCCGCTAGTCCACAGCCCTCGAAGTGTTGGTAACAGGAACACTAAAACAGCGATTTTTGTGTAAAATAGAGTAGTTACATCGTTTTTGTTGTTTTGATTTGGAACTATAAGTATATATATTTCTTGGATAATATGCTTCTTTTTTGTCCAACCTGTGGAAATGTTTTAATTGTGGAAGAAGGACAGAGGTGCATGAGATTCGCTTGTAACACTTGTCCCTACGTACACAACATCACAAGAAAGGCGAGTTAAAGTTAACATAACTTACTTTATGCCATGACAGACATTATGTTGCTTAAATGTCATGTCTTAAATCAGTTGATTTCAAGATATTGCTCCTGGCTTTACATGTGGATAGTTTATTTTGTGTGAAACATGTATTTTCTTTTATACAGGTAAATAACAGGAAGTATCCCAAATTAAAAGAGGTGGATGATGTTCTTGGTGGGGCTGCAGCTTGGGAAAACGTGGATTCAACTGCTGGTATGTCACATTAAATCAGCCTCAGTATCAGACATAATGGTCCGACAATAAATTCTGGGTCCTTTTACTTAGAAAATGTAAGTGTAAGTGGTTGTGTGTCAACCCTAAGCACCAGTTATCTTTGTTTTTATATTAGTTATGTTACCCTTAAGATTTTATACCGCCTGTCCACATGTCCATACGACTTCCTTTACTTTGTAATTCATACATTTATATTGCGGAATAATTTGCGTCCACGTGTTGTGGAAAGCTAGGATTCACCAAGTAGAGCAGTAGTGGTTGGTTGTAGAGGTTTTATTGGTAGGTGTAGTTGTTCTCTGAGAGATGAGTTGGGAATAAAAGGGCCGACACTAAGGTCTTATCTTTCCAACTTTTCACCGGCGACAAGAACACGTGACCAATCATCATGCAGTTTGCTGGAATGGTGCAGCGAAAAAACGCAATGTGTATCATTTAGTTGCTTAGTGTTGAATGTGTAAATGTTCAGAACCTAGGACAGACTGCTGTATGCTCATGTGCGTGTTTCTGGAGGAGAAGAAACCTAAACCACTGGGGCAAAGATAGGCAAGTGTAAAACTAGTAGAGGAGTTGGACTTGTAAGATCTGACATATGTGTGTAACATGATTGTTAAATTGAGGCAAACTGGCAAAGAAGTATGGGCTTTTTAACAAACGTTTGATCCATGAGATAACATTAGCAAGCTAACATGAGGTTAAAGAGGAGTTTAGGCTGGTTTATTAGAGTGATTGTCAAGACAGGATGGATACTGGTTGATTGCAAGAATCAGAATCACCTTTTTTGGCCAAGTATGCCCAGGCATACGGGAATATGATGATATAGAGGCTCTCAGTGTGCTTTTGTAAGGCAGCAAAAGGAAATACAGGTGTGTGTATGTATATATAGCTGGGTATTGACCTTTAATACTTGTATGGCATTGATCAAATTACTTCGACCAAGTATCAAAAATGTTTTGTCATTCGATAGTAAATTTGAATATCTAAAGAAATTCTCATAAGCGTCGGTGAGCCAATGCCTTGCCAATTTATTGATGTTAATATTAACAGAACTTAAGGTTGTGGTAAATAGGTTTACTTTTTATGAAACTGCTTTGAGTGCACAAAAATGCAGAGGAATATATATACACACACACTTGTGTGTTTATTGGAGATTAGAGGCAATCAAAGAGAATAAGGGAAAAAAAACAATATTTATATATACATACATGTACCTTTTGGCAGCAAAGCTTCAGATGGATATATACAGTAGTTAGATTTCCAGTTTATTGCACTGGGGCGATTGCTGTGTCCTGTCACACAAGCATGGAATAGCTGTTCATTAGAGTGATGGCACAGGGGAAGGAACTGTCTTTGTGTTTTATGATATCCACTACCATGTAATTTTTATTTAAAATGCAGATTATCCAGATGTTTATTATTCAAAACCTCTATCATGAGATATGAAATTCTGATGTTCTGAAATGTCCCTTGATCCCACAAGGTGTTCATTATTCTGCATGCACCATTTTATTTTATGTAGTTATTTGACTTTATATAGCCTTTAACCTGTGGGCAGATTGTACAGTACAATGTATAAGGTAAGGGCTGAATTTTATCAGATTAAGTATACATTAGACTTGGCAAATAAGATCTGCTCTGTTTATATTACTGTTCTCACTAAAGACAGCAAGTATTCAGAATAAAGGCAGCACAAACAAGCCAATTTGAATTTATTATGTTGCTCTTGGAACTGTTTAGTGTCCTAATTTGGATCTTAATCAGATGAGCGTTTACAGCTATACTGCCTCATACATGACCTATATATGTATTTTTACATAGCAAACCAAAAGTGTCAACCCCAGAAGTCCGTGCGACACCAGACAGACCCTTTCCATTTGTATCCCTTTACAGAAACTTGTCCTAAGTGTGAGCATCCACGGGCATATTTCATGCAGATTCAGACCAGATCAGCAGATGAACCGATGACTACTTTCTACAAATGCTGCAATACCCAGTGTGGACATCGATGGAGAGACTGACACCTTTGGACTTTATGTATTCAGTGCTTACGTTACATAGATTACTCCCCACATCCCTTGACTTAAACTTTTGAGCCTTTATTTATTGCCAACAGGCTCTGGTAGTTTTTTCTTTGTGTAGGCACAGCTGAAGAAACTTTACCTTTAGTCTTTGCTTACATTTACATGTATTGTTCGCTTTATAGGCATAATTAATTTTCCAGCTAATATTAAAATGAGTTGCAGTGAGAAAACATGTTCAGATTTTTATTAATAAAATAGTACCTGTATACAATAAATTTGGACTTGCATAACTATACATATCACAGACATTTAGAGAGCAGTGCAGACCACCATTATATACAACAAAGGCATACAGTACCTTGTATTAACAGTTTAGTGCATAATAGCCTCAGGGAAACAAAAAAATCAAATGCACATGGAGTCAAGGAACTAAGCAGAGAGAATTCTTCTTTTTGAGTGGCTCATGCAGACACACATAGCATTTGGTGAGTGAAGGTGAGTGGTAGATCAGGCATGCTGTGGTGAAACAGTTGTCACTTCATTGTTAGTATTAATCTCAGTGGAATGATACTGTCATTTACTTGAGTATTATTCCTAGCAGAGAGGTTACTTTTTTGTAATTGCAATATTAGACATCTGTATGGCTATCTAACATGCATCTAAAACAGTGTTATGTCATGATAATACCACCACTGTTATTTCTGTTTTAATGCTATTTACATGTTTACTGCAGCACCAACATTCAGCCAGTAGTGTGAGTGAAAAGTGTAGATGTTGCACAGGGCTCTGACTCAACATAGGGCCAGAGAGGACACCAAATTACTGAGATGCCATGCAGTAACAGTAAAGCCCTCTTTCTGCTCTACTTTAATTCTACTATAGTCTGAATAAGTGTGTGTATGGTGGGATTCACCGAGTAAAGGCACAAATTATAACAGCTTTTTCCCCACTTCAGATTAGCTGAGGTTACTGGTGTGAGTGAACCTATCAGAGAGGAGAATGAATTTCAATTCGAAGTGCTTTATTCTCAAAATTAAGTACACCATGGAAAGAGGGCACTGATGCCTAACAGGCTAAACTGAAAGCACTGAACATGTTGTGACAGCTGACTGAAGCCCAAAAGATTAAGAACTACAGCAAGTTAACATCAACCTGGGGTATTTCCCAAACAAGCAAGCATCTCTTTTGTTGAGGTGAAAATTGTTAATTTGTTCACATTCAAGAAGGGACAATGATAAAAGGAACAATTAGGCTCTGTTAGTGTTAGAACAAAAGTATCACACATGGACAAATGTTCACAGTTCTCAATATTAACTTGTTAAAACAGTGGATAAATTATTTGAAAGAGAAAAAAAAAAACTAACCCAGCACATCTGACTTTAGCATTTGCTTCTGAACAGTATTAACTGATGAATTCAAATAGTGACCATTTTCAGAGTTCTGCGACCACCTATCAACAGCCCCCCTACATCTTCTAGCTCAGTGAGAGATTTGTACATTTCTATACAGGAAGGAACAATACTGAAAAATATATACAGTAATTGTGTTAACTAATAAGAAAACCACACTTGGAATTTAAAAGGGCCACACAACACAGCAAAAATGAGAAAAGCCTGTCACTACCAGCAGGAGGGGTTGTGAGCTAAAGAATTTTTTTTTATCTGCTGTATTTCCCCTAAAAGCGAGTATAAGGACTTTATAGTTAGTACAAATTTTACTATTGTTACCTTCCATTGTAGAGATTGATGGAAATTAAGTTGTGTTTAACGGCATCACCAGGAAAATCAGTTGGCCTGTTCACATGAACGTAGTGATCAAATCATATGTTAACTATGGCTTGGTAGACCTATAAGCCATTCACAATAGCAGCAATGATAAACAACAATGATCATGTGGCACTCACAATATGAAAATGAGCTGTAGTGTGTCCCTATATTTATAAAGTATTTTACTTCAAACAGCAATGCGATACCCTCGGGCTCAAAGTACAGTAAATGACCAGATAAACTAGCTTGCTGCAGTATCACACCATAAAGTAAATAACCAGCGTTCAGGCTACCTTATGTAGCCAGTTCAGGGCTAACCTATTGTAAAACCTAGTAAAGTCTCATTTTAAAATGCCACGCTGCACATCCCATCATCTGGTGTTTAAGCACCCTATCCACAGCTATTAACAGCGAGCCATAGCAGATGTAGCTACAGACAGGCATGCACGCACGCATGTCTGCTCATACATCGGTTGTGGCTGCTGTTGAGCTCTGTTCTACTGGCTCCAAAAGTGCTCAGGACAAATACATGAATTCAGTAAAATCATTTTTCATGCTTCTGAGTCAGAAGGAAAACAAATACAAAATATAGATGTGTGAGGTAGCCATTACAGCTAACTGCATAGGAATATACATGCAGGTCAGCTGACCTGATGATCAGGTGATAATCCTATGTACTTAGCTGAAATGGCTACCCCAGGCTATCTGCATCTTGTATTTGCTCTCCAGAAATAAGCATGAAAAATGAGTTAATTGAAATCATGTTTATTCTGAGCACTATCCGATGCTAAGCAGTTGCCCTGGTGACGCTGTTTAACACAACTTTTCATTTCCCTGAATCTCTGCAACAGAGGTAGTGACAGCAATAGAGTCACTATAGCTATAGAGTCACCATGCTCACCTTTAAGGGAAGCAGCAAGTAAAAAAAGCACAAAGTGTAATGTATGTGCATGTAGATGTCTGGCACACAGCTGCCGGTGGTTAGCATAAACGTCTGTATGTGCAAATATAGGCCTTACAGTATGGGCAGGTGTGTGTCACATCCTTGAGGTTATCCAGCATACAGGGAAACAAGCAGCAGCCAAGATTACACCTGAAAATAAGGAAGAAACAAAATATTAAGATGCAAAGTCAGACTGCTGCACATGGTTTTACACACTCAATACCCTGGTCTGAATGAAGTGAAGACAACTACATGCATTACTATGGGTATAGAGGTCACAGACATGATACACATCGACTGAAACACAGAACGTCAGTTCCTTTTGCTTTGCATGGATCACATCACAAATAGGTACACTTGCTTTGCATATAACCTGGTCAGTGAGAACAGGCTACTAGTGTGGACAAACTGAAAAGGCACGATCTTGGCTTGGAGCCACAATGTATGTTTCACTTACATTTCAGTATTAAAATAAACTATTATTTTGCTAAAACACACTATTTTATAAATAAAAGGAATTGTGTACTTGAGAGCTGTTACTTTCAAGTGTTACACCCTTTAGTCTTGTGTGTGACACTTTTGTAAAGCAGAGGGTTTGAGGCCAAGCAGAACCTTCGACAAAACCAAACAATGAAATGCTGTTATTTAAAGGATATGACTAGTAATTTTCTATATTAATAGTACACTGCCTGGCCACATTGTCGCACCTGTACAATTTTATGCACTGCAATGCAACACTTCCGCCTTAACATTACATTATATTCAGAGATGTTCATAATAGTCTGATCTTCTCATGTATGGAGCTGGGGAGGACAAAAATATAGACACACCTCTGAATATAATGTACAGTACAACACCACCTTTAACTTTCACCTCAATAATAAACATATAATTGAATTTATACATTTGACAATTTCACCAAAAACAAACATTACGAGCTTCATAAACACAGATGTTAAGGTGGAAGTGTTGCATTGAAATGCATGCAATTATAAATGCATGCAATTATATACAGTAGGTGCGACTATTAATGTGACCAGACAGTGCATTTTCAACAACCCCCATACAGAGACTAAAACCAACATCTCCAGACTGGATGAGCTCATTATGAAACATGTGAACTGACTAAATGTTAAAAATTAAACCATACAGGGGGTGAAGTAAGCAAGAAAATGACGGGCCTTATCCTTCAATCAGACTGTATCAGACCTCTTTTCTGCTTCTACTCACCCTGCAATAAAGCAGAAGAGGCAGGCGAGTGTGTTCATGAGGCCGATATCGTGTGAGATACGGGTGATGATTGGCTGCTGACAATGTGGACACAGAGTCGTCACTGGTGTGGTCTTGAACATTTCTCTCTGCAGTACAGTCAGAGTGGTGGCTGCTCCTGGAGGAGCCAGGACAGTCGCTGTGTGACCACCCATGTGGACAAAATGACTGGGATCCGGGCCCATATGTCCTGGCATCGGGTGATGGTAGTGACCGGGTGGACCTGGCACAAACAAAATGCAAGCATATATATAAAATTGAACTAACTGGACTCTGGCCACTTCATACTCTTTGATTTGTCAGCTCCTACTCACCAAGACTGAGGCCAAGTCAAAGTAAACAAGTCCCAAATATTTTTCTGAGCTGCTGAACTAAGCCTAAGTTAAAATGTGAGTAAATATTTCATTGGGTGGCCAGACACTAGCTAACACATTAGCCCTGAGAACTTTTTATGTGGCAGTGTCTCTGTCAGCACCTTGCGGTGGCGGGGGCATGGGCATGGGCCCCTCTCCAGGGACATGTGGAGGAAGGAAGCCTGGCTGTAGGGCTTCATAGGGTGGAGGACCATAATCTGGAGGCAAGGGCTGTCCCTGTGGAGGAGCTGTTCTTACAGGAAACATGTAAAAAAGGAAAAACATGACAGTTCTACACAGGTCTGAGCCAGATAGAATTCATATTGCAATTTCCCACTTTAGATCTAAGTACAAAGTATACAACTGCATTCATAATAAATTCCTTCAAACTATATATGTTGTTTGCCTCTGATGTTTTCTGCATTAATTGCTGATGTGGTTCGACCCATTCAAGTTGCTGTATGATGCCTGCAAATGCTGCATCACTGTCATGAGAGTCATTCACAAAGATCAGTGCAGCCCACGTGTGGCTTGAACTTAGGTTAAGATTTCAATTCGGTGTAGTCAGTTTGCACTGCCTAGTCTTGAGATCTCACATTTCACAGCAGACGATTTTCTTCCTTATGAGAGTTTTGTGATGAGTGAATCAGAGGGGTGTTTTTCAACACTGGGACCATTTTAAAGTCTCCCTCATGAGAATTTACTCAAGTCACAATGACTAAAACTGGGTGTCAATAGGCATGAAAATTGAGGAAGGAGGACTGAAACTACAAAAAGATGCGGCTAAATAAAACATTTTTGTAATTAAGTCAGGAGATGGAAACTGAATCTAAACGCTGTATCTGTGTGCTTATTAACATTCAACACAATCATGCATGTTTAGTTGAATTACCAGGTTGTCCATTTTTATCCTCGAGGAGTGGGGCACTGGGACCTCCAGGGTATGGAGGAGGAGGATCACTGGACATGCTGGCCTGATGTCTGCACAGGGAGAGGGGTTGGACACGGAGCTCCTCTCACAACTCTACTGTGGACTTTCACTCTGTGAGAGTAAAATAAACATTCATAGTTAAGTCCTGTGGTTTGTTCCTCTGTGGCACAAACTTGCTCAAGTCATGGGGTGTATCCGCTGATTTGTCTACATACATGATGTTTTACAAAAAGCCTTTTTAAGCAGTTTTGTGACTTTAAATATGGATTGAAGGTGTAAATTTTCCTGCATTGAATCAATCAGCTTTACTGGCCAGGTGTAAAGCAGGTTGTTTGTTGGAGTTTACTGTCTGATAGTATTAACAGTAGTAATAATAAATCCATAAAATGGTGATGAAAGAAGAAGAAATGGGCAATGACATCAGGTGAAATGAATGTTTAATTGTAGGATTAAGCAATCTGATCCAAAATTTAATTGCAGGATTAAGCAATCTGATCCAAAATAAACAGTTACGGGCGAAATCATAGTTAAATGTTCTTGTGCCATTATTAGTTTTACAGTTGATTTTTCATTAAAACCTAAAAATCTCATTTTTGTTGTGGAATTATTTGATGTAACAACCATTTATTTTGGGCTAACTACAAATTTCACTATGTTTTGACATGATAAAATATGTTGCTACTAAAATCAGTTGACAACCCAGAGTCTAGAGTGATCATCTCAATGATCACCAGCACAGCACTAAAATCCATAAAGAAAATTAGGGATTAGGATGTAGGCGATTTGGAGGCCTGAATGAAATGAAACAAAACTAAAACAACCACTTAGAGAAAATAAAAAATAGCTGGATTTGAGGTATCTTTTCTAGGCTTTTATGTTCATGTCAGCACTGTTATTTTGCTATAATTATATGACAGAGTTGCAGGAACATTTAAATACAGCTGAATAAAGCAGTGTATCTGCATAACAGCTGGGAAACCTGTTTGTTGTGGAAGTCAGTTTTAGTTCAGATGAGGGTGCTTTCACACCTACAGCGTTTAGTTCGATTGAATCAAACTAGAGTTCGTTTTCCCTCTTGGTGCGGTTCGTTTTGTCTGGTGTGAACACGGTAATCGCACTCGAGTGCGCACCAAAACAACCGCACCGAGACCCCCAAAATGAGGTGGTCTCGATCCGCATGATCTAGCCAAACTGTACGACTTGGTTTAAGTGGTAAATGCAAGTAACGTAATACAAAATCATCAGGGCGAGGCCCAACCCGCGTATGTTGACCTCCAACCTCTCTTGTCACAGAAACGTGGACTTTCTTCCTTTACAGTTTTTCTCTATCGCTTTCATTCATTTCTCACAACAGAACTGCATTTCTCAGAACTACTCGTTCAACCGTCAGATTCTGTTGTCAGTTGTTCACATCATATCAGCAATTTCTTGTTGTTTTCATCAAATTGCAATTTCCTTTGGACAACATGCAAATGGTTCTGTACATCTGTCAGCTGTTTTTGACAATTCTTGTTGCTTTTGTCCAGCTGTGCAAAATAACTTGTCCTGGTTCTCAGCTGAAATGTCACAACCACCAAACCAATTAGTCTTTTTTTCAGGTTGGAAGTCTGTACTATCAAAATGAGTGAACATGTTCTCAGAATTGTATGTCTGTACAGATTTCTACAAAGTGTGAGTAGATGTTTGCTAAGAAATATGTCCAGAATTGAGAAATTGCTCTCAGGTGAGTCTTCACCTTCGTTAACGAAGAGAACCACCTCACAACTTCATATACTTGGATGAGGCTGGCTTCAACCTGGCCAAAGGCAGAAGGCGTGGTAGAAATCTAATCGGCCAGAGAGCTACTGTTGATGTCCCAGGCCAACGGGGAGGAAACATCACTATGTGTGCTGCTATGTCAGACCAAGGTGTGCTAGCTCATATTCCTATTATGGGACCGTACAACACACAGCATCTCCTTACATTCTTAGACAATCTCTATAAAAATGTCATTCCTGAAGATGAGAGGGACCTCAATCGAGATGATGTACCAAAGTATGTAATAATTTGTGATAATGTCAGTTTCCATCGCTCTGACAACATCAGGCAGTGGTTTGTCCACCACCGCAGGATGCTGATTGAATTCCTTCCACCCTACTCCCCATTCCTGAACCCAATTGAAG